ACTTTGTCAATCCTCTCTTTTTTTTTTTTCTTGAGAACATTGCGCTAGCAAAATAATAAAAATAATAATAATAACAAAAAAAAAACGGTAACTTGAAAAAATTTTGTCGCACTTTCATAAAAACGCTTGGATTAAAAATTAAAAAAAGATATATCAAGTGTAAATAATTGACTATGTAATGCATTGCAATTTATCTTTTGTCCTCTAAATAGCGTACAAACTATAAACTCCTTCAAGAAATGTAAATCTCTTAATTAACATAAGTACTTTAACCTGAGGGAATTAAAAAAAAAAGTTGAAAAACTAAAAAAAAGTTGAAAAACTAAAAGTGCTAATAACATTTAGCTAATTAACTCTTTCCACGCCAAGTCTTAAAAGGGTGTTAGATAAAGCAGCCTCCTCAAATGTTGCATCATTATCATAAAATAATTTGGGAGAGTTGGGAACTATGAAATGGAAACTCTGAGATTCTTCTTCCTCCAGCAAAGTTGAACAGAAAGACCATAACAACTGCATAAAAATAAAAAGCATAAATTTATAAATGAAAAACATTATTATTATTATGAGAAATTTATATACGTAGCATGCAGTTCTTATGTGTTTACATTTCTCACACCAAAACATTCATAGTTTCATACATAACTCTAATGGTGCCAAAAATTGACCCGATACGGCAATTAGACCCGACTCGACTCAAATAATCCGAGTTTGAGTTGAATTTAATAATTTTTAGGCCAGGTTCAGTATAAAAAATCTAACCTATTTATTTTTTCGAGTAAATTTAAGATTAGCCCGCCAACCTGAAATTGACTCGAATGACCCAATTTTATCATGAATAGTTGCTATTATTATGTTAAACATGTTAAAAAGATCAGATACGGGTTGACAAGTTGATGGAGAGTCAGGTTCAGGTTGGGATTTTCAACACAAAATATTCAGGTCATCGGGTCAATTTCGGGTAAACCCAAACCCGCCCCCTATAGGACTTTGGTACTTTCCTATGCATGAAAATGTGTATTTCACTTTTAATAAGTGATAGTAGTTTTATTTTCATGTGATATTAACGATTAGAGTGCTATGTGTTTAAATATGAAACTTTTGGCGTGAGAGAAGTAAATGCATAAGAATTGTGTGCTATGTTTGTAAATGCCTTTATTATTAATTATTTGATGGGAGACTTTACCTTTGTTGGATCAGTTTTAAGGAAGCTCCTCCGTACTCTCTGGCTATTAGGAAGGCATATTCCTACTCGGCAAATGAGCTTTTCGTCTGTAGGCTCTTCAGGAAGAGGGGGATAACCTGGTTTTGTTATCACTGCAGAACTGTTTTCCTTAGGTTGTGCTACTTCATTTTCTACTGAAAAAAAAAATCATCAAAATGCTTATTATAAAGTAAATTTCCTTCAAAATAAATTTATGTTAGCCAACTAAAATAAAAAAATAATAACAAAAAATTGCAGTATAATATGTCAAAAATTGATCCTGACAAGTCAACTCGACCTGAACTAAACTTGAAAAATTAAGGTTCATGTAGGGCAAATAATTTTTGATATATGTTCTGGTTATGAATCCTAATACTTCTATTTTTTGGGTTGGATTTGGGTTGAACAACAGCCCGAAAATAACCTAAAACTGTGAGCTAGCTTGAACTTGACTCAAAATCAATATGCCAACCCGAAATTGACTCGAAATCAACCCAAATTTGATATGAATAACAATTGTGTGCTATGTTTAATAGGTTATACGGGCGGGTTAGAGTCGGTGGGTTGAATGCAGATTCATTTTAAACATTCTGACTCGTTTAATTTGTGATTGGGTTAGGGTGGGGTTAAGGTCAAATAGTTTTGGGTCGATTCAAGAATTTTTGGATTAGAATAGAACCCAATGCGCAAACTTAATTTGACACTCCCAGTTCTTAGCTAAATTTTACTAGATAGTTGTGGAACTTTAGCTAGTTAAAAAATTTGGCAGCACTCACGAAAAAAAAATTAAGGATAAAAATTAATTCTATTGAGTTAAAATTGGCAATGAGAAAAAACAAGCTAGAAATAAAATAAATTGAGATATTACGAATTGTCACATAAAACTTCATTAAAAGAAACAATAGCATGCATATTTTTAGCAAACCTATTTGGTGAGATGAAGCATGATCATTTTTTCTTTGTAAGCTCTCAGCAAGATGTTGTTTTGGACTTCTATCATAAAACCTCATCAAATCCTGAATAAAAGAAGGTGATTATTTTTTAATACAAATGATATGCTTTGAAACACTTTTTCATGCAAATAAGATTTGAGGATTTATAAATATAAATTTTCAAATAATCTAACAATTCAATTTAATTAAGTTAAAACAGATGGAGTAAAATCTAGTTAATTTTAAAATAGTTGTAAATAACTGAGAATTACATCAAATACTATAAAAAAACAAACAAATGAACTAATTTAGATAAAATCTTATTTATTATATATAATTTTTTAAGGTGAAAATCCGCTAAAATTTAACAAAATCATCAAAAATTTAACTTTACCTCTAATAAGTTCTCTGGTTGCTTCATTTCATGGCAAACATACATTTTTGCACCTGTTATGGGATCAATGACCATAATTACAGGCAATGTCGTCACCTTGTAAAAACAACATACTTTTTGTCCCTCTATATCTTCGTGAGAAGTCTAAATAGTAACATTATGCAAATAAAAGAATTAGTATAATATATTTTAGACCAAAAATGTTAATATTATAATAAATAACTTTTAAAAAACTTTTTTGTCTAAAACTTATGGTAGCTTGCTACGAAAACAATATAATTACATACCTCCCAAAATACAAAATGTGAACTCAATTGCTCTTGAACGGTGGCATTTGACCATGGTTCTCTCTTTAGCTGCACAATGCGACAGTTAAAATAATGCATATTTGTAAAGAAAAATTAACATATACATACCACACAATTTTAATAATCTAAACTTCTATATTTACATTCAACACACCGTGCATCAGTGTCGTCAATCTATGCATGCAAAAATACATCTCACTTTTAGAAAGTTAGCAATGACAATATTTTGGATTTTATGTGACAGATTCAAGTATTATGCGTGTAAATATGAAGTGTTAGAAATGAAAATACATAAAATTATTTAGTAACATTGAAAAATTTAAAAAGAGATATCACTAATTTTTATGATGCCTACCAGATGCGAGTTAAACTGCTCTCTTTGTTGCACATGCACTAATAACCATTTATCATGACTGGAAGTCAGTACTTTTGCCTGCATATAAAACAATGCATGTTATTATTTGAAAAATATAATATTTGTGTAATAGTTTATTTACCTCATAAAAGTAACCATAAAACACTAAGTGTATTGCAGGTAAATTTGTTTCATGAAATTCTTCTTCTTCTTTCCAATCAGAATCTTCATCAGTTCCAGCATTATATTCTAATCTGCAATCACTTAAGGTAAACAAAAATTTTAAAAAGAATAAAAGAAATTTAATTAATAATTTCATGCATTAATTGCTTAAGTGGCTGAACGTAAATAAATAGAATATCTGATTGCTTCAAATCTAATTTTGAGATAAAATCCACTCATTTTCTAGAATTAATTACTAATTTTAAAATTCAACTTATCATTTATAACTATTATTTTGAGATAAAAAATCAGATGCCACTTGCAAGCAAGTAAAATGAGTTCCTAAGCGACTGCAGAGGGAAAAAAAACTACAATTAATCATTAACTAAACATTTCATAATTGTCCAAATTAATAAATTATTAAGCAAAACGAGATGATGGAGAGAATAATGCAAGCAATCATATTAACTAAAAGAAAAACTCAATTACCAGAGAGACACACACCTTATGATAGATTAAATTAAAAATAATGTACAAATTATTTAATAAAACTGTAAATTAGAAACTCTTCATTTATGAAAAAATTCAAACCTATACATTCAACATTTAATTTTCATTTATGCAAAAATTCAAACCTATACATTCAACATTTAATAGGCTACATGACCAACAAACAATAATTCAAATTTTTACTTCATAGCCATAATCAAATAATTTGTTTACATTCACGCCCAAAAATAAGAAAGAAATCAACAAAGTGAGTAAACTAAACCTAAGATATAATTTTCATACATCTCAACAAAGATATAGAATTAAAAGAGAATCTTACAAAATAATCTTCATTAAATCTGAGAGAAATAAACTAAATAAAACATTAAAACATTGAAAAATATCAACATGCGTATAAAATTCGCAACCATCATTATAATTATAAATTTAAAAGAAAAAAAATGTTCTCTTACTAAAACATTAAATGGTTGATCATCGCTTTCATTAATTTAGTTTCAATAGAATACCTATCCTCGTTGTCATCATGTTCCTGAAATTCACCGACCTCATTTTCATCCTCTGAGCCCCAACCCCTGAATATACTTTAAGAACCACACAAAAAGAAAGAAAAAAAGGAAGAGGGATTTATATGTCAATTGCTCAAAATATTAAATATGAAATAATAACAAGCTAAATGTAAAAATTTACATTTAAGCCACCCAAAATCTTCAATGAATGGGTGATGGAGAGTAGTTGCAATAAAAAAAAAGAAAGTTTTGGGTGTTTGAATGTTAATTTTTAAAATTGGGCAGTTAAAATGTTATACTTAATATATTGTATGGTTGGTAAATAAAAATATAAAAGTATTGTAATGAATTAAGCCTGGAATCCTCTTACGTTTCTGGAATTGCGGAATTAAAATTTGAACCTTCTTCACCTTCTTCAACTTCATATTCATCCTCAAGGGGTCTTTTTCAAAATAAAAATGATCAAAGAACCACAAAAGAAATCAATAATATATATCTTATCAATGTCATTTTCATCCTCTGAGCTCCAACCACTACAAATAAAATTTATAAAAATATATTTAAATATTTCAGAGCTTACCAAAGAAATACTAAAATAATTCGAAGATAAAATCAAAATAACTTACGTTGGTGTAATGTCAGGAAATAATAAATTGAAATGAGGATTAGATTGTGATGTTGTTGCTTCTCCAAGAGAACCATCACGCTCAAAAAATAATTCAATAGCAGCATGAATATTCCATCTTGCATCCTACAGAAGATAATTATATAACATATTTATCACTATTCATTGCATGATAATAATAACTTTTTTAATAATATAAATTTGCATTAGTACAAATAATCTATGAACCTTGAGGATGTTCGCAGCAGAATCCCTACAATTGCTCATTGTGATTTCAAGAAATGTGGAGACAAGTTCCTGCTTGTTGCCCATAATAAACTGCATCCAAAAAGTAAATATGAAATATAAAAAAAATTTTATGATATCTGACAATATTTAAATGAGTAAAAATATATTTATTAAGTGTATTTTTCATATGTTTTTTTTGTTGCTATAAATGAATTAATGTTTTTTGAAATCTCTCAAAATAATTTTTATGTATTTTGAGTATTTTAAAAACCAATTATATCCTAATCAAATATGTCAAATATGTATATTTTTTTGGAGTTCAAAACAAAAATAAAAAAAAATATATATCAAAAATAAAAATGATCCCCAAGGGCCCCTGATATAATATCTGGTTGTATCTAATCTCATTATGGATTTCTATCAAGATTTTGTCTCTAATTCAATCTTAGGCGGTGTTTGGCTTTAGAACCATCTCTCATTTAGATTTATTAAATCTGTGTTAATTGTCTGCCTCTGAAGCGTATCAAAATAAGACAAACCCTAAACCCTAAATACAATACAAATTACTCTACTTTGCAGGATTTTAAACTACAAATCATGAATAAAATCACGTAAGACTTACCTGCTCCTCCATTGAGTAAACGCTGATCAGAGCAGAGGCCAAGGAAGATTAAGATCAAAGAACTCTCTCTAGCCAACCCAAGGTTCAGGTTTGTTTGAACTTCGCGAAAGCAGAGCGTTGAATGGAAGGCGTGTTGAGTGCTTTTATAACCGCACCGGCCGCAAGCATGAAAGGATATGAGAGTTTTCGAGCAAAAACCGTGCGGGTCTGCTTTTTCAGCCACGATCCATCCCGCGTTTCCCTCTGCTTCTCCGCTTCCTTGAGAGCAAAGCACGTTGCCGCTTTCCCGCTGCTTCCGCGGGGCAACTTCCAGCAGCCGTCTGTTAATTCTATTGCTGGACTCTTGTGGACATGAGCATAAATAATGAATTATATGCCTATATATAGCAGCACAAAAAAAAAAAAAAACAATTACATAGAGACCACCGGATACTTGCTATTTACAGATCAACCATCCTCCTCCATCCATTTTTTAAATTTCTCAACTCAGATATTAAAATTCATGGTAAAACCTCAACCTATATTTTACATTTTATTCAAAAAAATTACCTATGGTCTGTATATAATTCTCCCAATATATATATACATATACATATATATAAAGTATTTTCTTTCTATAAAATTCATGGTAAAATCTTTCTATATATATAGAGAGAAAGATTACGTGGCATAAATAAGGAAATATCTGTATATATATAAATGCACAATATATATATATATATATATAGAAAGAAGTAATCCAACTTATATTTTATTCTTTTCTATATATGGAATTATATAGAAAGAAACCAACAAAAAGCTTAAATAATAGGTTTGCACTGTAAAATACTATAGATCTTAGAAATTGTCATAAATAAGTTAATGAGTGAAGTTTTCATAAAAAGGAACGAATTGGTCTGCATTTCAGAAATTAAAATATTTTTTTTTTTTAAATAAAACAGATCTTGCAATAATTTTTATAAATCACTCAACTTTTTAAAACTCATCACTCTTCTCAACATTAATAAAATGTCACAGGCAGAGCAATGCAGAATATAGTGTTGTAAATAGACCAGTGGAAACAAATTTGCATGATACAACGAAGGAAAAAAAATCATAACATGATTAAAATAAGTTTATGAATTTTGATTTAGCACGGACTTAGGACCACCCAAATGAGTCTTCAAAACAGTAAAGAGGTAGTTGTGGACCTCAAGGAGGGAGATGGCTCAATTTGAGTGAATTGATGGTTTTGGGTGTGTTAGGGAACTTATGGTGAGTTCAAGTGTGTATGTGCAAGACCAAGCCACCCGGGGTTGCCCTAAGGCCAGTTGATCCTATAGAAACTCATTCTTGAGTCTTCACATATTGGTCTTAGCCATCTCAAGTGACAAATGAAAGCATGTGATCACCAATGTGGGACTTCACAAGATAAGTTGGGAAGTATTGAGAATTTTAATGTGGGTGGGTTTTACACTAGTCCTCTAGAATAGTCGAAAGAAAAGTCTTAAGGCTAGATCCTAGGCTTCTAAAGAAAAGAATTAGACCTCATAAAAAATGAGGTCAACACAAACATTGAAAAAAAGATTTCGTAGATAACAACAATATTGACTAGCCACCATAATATATTTATTTGTTGAAATGTTTTAAGTTTTCTAAATCACTACAACATCAAATGCACATTACTCATCACAAAACATTGTTTTCATTGTGCGCAAAACTCTAAAACTCCAAATACTCATGATATTAATTTATCAACCAAAGCTTTTACAAAAGAACCCAAGAGCTATAAAACTCGATACAAATGAAATCATCTAAACTTCATCTAGCCAATCTTATTCTTGTTGAATGTGTAAACCTGTTAACAAATAAAATATCACATTATTATAAGAAAAGTAGTCTACATAAATCTTTTTAAAATATTAAATTTAGTAGCTAACGAATAATCTTTTATTACTTGGCCCTTATGTTGACACAGTAATTATTGATACTATTTGTGAACCACAATGTTCATCAATATCACTTACCTAAGCATATAAGAAAAAATTATACAAAAAATGGAGCATTTTTTCTTACTTAAATAAATTTAAGATACGAGTTCATTATACTTACCATTGTACTCTTGTCATTCGATTTTGTAGCATTCAAATGATATTGTAGGATTTCCTCACCTTATAGTTTTTGAGCAAATTGAGTTTTTTTTTTTTTTTCTTTGATCTTACCACTTCTGGTAGTATGTCCGCTTTGCTTGCATTTGCCGCAATGTAAAACTATTATTGACTTACTTTTTTATGTTTTTTTGTCAGCTATTTTGATGTCAACTAAATCTTTTGTTCTTAACATTGGTGGCCGACCCTTCCTAGGATCTTATATCTTAGGAGTAAGAGATATTCTTTATTACTTTTAGGCCATTCATCGAGACCATTGATCGTCATAATGTTGTGCTCATAAGTTTCTATACATATCATCGGAGTAATAACTATGAATAAAATGTTCATAATCAAACTCACTCATATTAATTGTAGCACATACATGAAGACAAGACAAACCAATTAGTTCTTATCTTCTACAACTACAAGACATATCATTTTTGTTGACAAAATATTAAGCCCTTTATAATGCTCTGATTTGATAAGTGTCATCATCTGCCTGCACACCAATACAACTTCTTGATTTATATAAGTTTCCTACAAATAGCTTTGCACATTCTTCTATAATTTTTTAAGAACGATGCTTTTCCCCCTACTAATTGACACGACTTCCTTAAATTCATTTTTATTACTAATAAACATTCTCACTTAAAGATCAAATTTTTGAAACTCTGGCATAAGATTGAATACTAACCACTTAATGTTATCATCTTCGTTGCTATTATGAACACTGATTGCATCATTGGAATTCACAGTCACTTTCATAAAATTTTTTTTCAATATTTTCTTAGAAATTTAAATTTATTTTTCAATCTTCATCTTATCTTTATTTTTTATACTTGTGAATTCAATAGATATATCAACGCTACCTTCAAATTTCTTAAGATCACGTGAAAAAGAAGTAGCTCACGAGTGGATAAGCATTAAATGCTTATGATCAGTGGAGATGAAGATCCCTCTATCGGGTGGAGGAGCAGCGAAGGGAGGTGTCTTCAGTCAATGCATGTGTCATCGACAGTAAAGCAAGAGGAACACCAAATGTTTAGAACACTACTGGTTTTCGCAGAATGTATATAATGGAACAATGAAATGTTTAATTTGGTAAGAATATACAACAAGATCATTTACCGTTAAAATTGTGAAACTCACCATTAAATTAAACAAAATATTTGATTTATGACCAACTGAGAATAATTTTTAATAGTTCAGGTCTAAATTAAAATATTTTAAAGGTTTTGGACTATATTATTCATTTTTTTTTCACATCAAATATAGGAAATTATAGGTTAGTATATTTATTTTACACCGAATTCTAAAATATTTTATTTTTGCAGAACAACCAAGCGGCCCCTTGCTCATCACCGACCGACCTGAACCGGAGCGGCAGCCCTCAGTCTCTCCCCGTCGCTCTTTCAGCTCCAAGCTCGCAGGAAATCTGAAATTGAAGATGTCCGCGAGCAGTAGAGGGAGATGAGATCGCCCTCCTCCTTGCACCTTGTTGCTTCTCCTGTTACCTCTGCTTGGATGAGAAAGTATGAATCGCGCTCTTAAGCCAGCTTACGCTGCTTCTCTGCCATTTTTCAAAGCTGTTTCCTTCTTCCATTCTTCTCCAGTGCTGGAAAGAAAAAGGAGATCCCCTTGGAATTATGTATGTCCTTTTGCCCCTTCTCTTTCTCTTTTTCTTCTTCTCGTTCTTATTAGAATGCGATTTCCTTGTGATTATTCATTATTTGTTGTTCATTTTTCTCTCACAAAATTCAGAATCTGGTTTGATGTCTCTCTTTAGATTTTTGTTTCCTGTTCAAAACTTAGTTTGATGCACATGTATACCTCTGCAGCCTGCTTGGACCTTTTAAATGATGCGTTTTGAAACCTCTAGTTATTATATTTTCCACGCAAATATCTAGGAGATTGACTTGCACTTTTTTTTTTTTGGGAAATTGGGCTTTAGTGGCAACTATGTTAGGTTAAAAGTTATTGGTTTGAGTTTGATTCGAACCTGGATTCTTAATCAGAGCACAAGTTTTTTAATTGCAGTTTCATGAAACTTCTGTTTTATTTTGTTCCATTTTACATTTTGTGCTTATAAATTTGTTTTTTTTATAATTATAGAAGATTTTCTTTTTTCCTTGGTTGAATTTGATATCGGATAAACTTACTTTGCATGCAATCAGGCACTGCCCTCTTGTACATAGGACTTGCTTAAAAGTTATGATGATAATTTTTATGCCTTGGACCAAGAAATTTTTTAGCCTAGAGTTATCTATCCGCAGAGATGCAATATTTCTGAAAAAAGAAAACGAAGGATGGAGTCAAGAAGGACTTTGCTGCGGGATATCTCAGAATATGCCGAATACCTTTTTCAGGTATAATCATTGAGTTTTGTTAATTTTGTAAGGGGCATTTACATAGCTAACACTCAATTTTAGTATATTTATTTATATTATACACTGAAACTTTCATACCCACATACATACTAATCAAAGCCTTGAAAACACAATAAAAATAACATTGTCACTAACTTCTTAAAACTGAAATATACCTTTATATGCATATGTTCTTAATATCAAAGTGTTATAAATGTAATTATTGCTTTTGGTTTTAGACATGAAATATCATAAGAATTGTATGTTTGTAAGTAAATTTCCCCTTTTTTTAAATATGTGCAAATTAAATTTTGTCAAATCTTTTTTCCTTCAATTATCTAGATTATATGGCCTACATAGTTATGCATTTGTGCATTGTTATCATGCTCCATATTTTGTTTAGTTTATGATTGATAATCATGTTTGAAACCCAAATCTCTCTCTAATTTTAATCAACTCGAAATCGGTTCCATATATGATGTATGCATGTATTTATGTGTGATAACACAAAGATACATATAAATTTGTATATATTCACAAATTTATGACATGAAATTGTATATATATACGTATATGCATCATTATTTGATGTTTTATGATACATTTTTATAAATAAATTTGAATGCTTTTAAATGGATGATAATCATGATTAATTAACAAAAAAATTATAAAATCAATAAAATTTGCTCGAATTAACTCAAAATCTAACACTATTAACTCAAAATCTAATTTGACTTCAATTTGGCTTGAGTCAAAATGAAATCCTCAATTTCAAGTTTAGGTTGGCTTGCTTGAACTTAATTTGATATCAACCCTACTAATAATTGACTATTTTTGGTTGTAATTTCCATTATTTTTTGTGTGTAATTTTAGTAATGGGCTTGCTTTGCAACATTTTTTTTCCCAACGATGATCTTGATCTATCTAGAGTGACTTGCTTTATATCTTCACAAGGGGCACTTGGTTTCTTGTTGCATGTGACTAAGGTTCTGGTTTTCTTACTCACTGAGGAATTTGGGGGCTTTGGCCTTAAAAAGATTGGAAGGCTTTCCCTAAACTTCTAGGATTGCTCACTTTCTAAGAAACTTTGTCTTCTTTCTTCCTTTTTCTTTCCAATTGTTCTTCAACTTTCCCATTTAGAATGTATGTGGAAACCTACAAAGGCAGTGGATGCTGAAAATAAAAAATTGCTTGATCATGAACTTCATTTATCTTCCTTTATAGACAAATTCAACTTGTCGGCCTTTTGAGGGGAGACTCTTAATTGCTTAGCCGTAAGATTACTAAGTGAGATTGGAGAGGCTAATAACCAAGAAATGAGAGAAAAATTGGAGAAGTTTCAATCTCTAGTATGCGAGGATTGGGGAGACTAATAATCAAGAAAGGAGAGGAAATTGGAGAACTATCAATCTCCTACATGAATTGTATTCCAGCTGTAGGGTCCCTTATTTATAGATGAAAGATCCACAATGTATAGAATACTAGACCTTTGATTATTTGCTGAAATGTTGCAAGAAAAATCAAGGATGATCATGATTACATTTCATAAGATGTTATGAAGTTTTTTACATCTTTAGGTTTCTCATTACTGAGTGAACTTCCATCTTGTGAACCCTATCGGCCACCATTAATCATCTAGAAGCATGGGGTGGAGAAGCAAGGGATTCCTCTTCCTGGTTATGACTTACACATAACAAGACAAGATGTTTTAGTTTGATTAAGTTTGGCTTATTTAGTTTATGCTCATCAACTTTGTTCACCCAACTTAAATTCAAATTCATCTAGCTTAGACAAATTTTCTATGCCTGGGCAAATCTAGGAACCTTTTTTAGAGGTGTCATTGTAATAAAATTGAGATTTATTATCATAAAATTCATTATAGATTGCAGTAATTGCAGGTTAGTGAAAAATCAACAGTGAGTCTGCAACACTGATGGTCTTTCTAAGAATTTGATACTTAATGTGTTTGTAATTACCCATTCACATTCTGGCACTTTGCCCATTTATTATTTTTTTGATCTAAAGTCATAAAATAAATTGAGGTTATGGAGTAGATTGAGCCAATAATCAAACAACTCCGTAGAGGTGAACTCTAGCAAGTGGGGGCACTTTCCCTAGGTCTCCCACTCTAGAATCACCCAGGCTCATATGCTTGTGCTTGAATCACGGCTTGTGAAATCCTTAATAGTTTGATTCTTTGATTATGTTCTCACATTTTCTAATGTTGATATAGTTTTTTGGTTCTATTTTAAGTTGGCTATTTCAGTTTGATGTTGTTTCAAATTACTTGTTAATCCATAAGTTGCATTCTATATTTGTTTCATTTTTGTGTATAGTAGATTATGTTTTTTTTTATGCTCAAGTTTCATGTATATGTTTATTTTACTTTTTAAGTTTTCTAATACATGTTGGGATCTTAGTTATTCTTCATTTTTATGAGAATCAAGAAGGGCTTGGTTTGATCCATTTTCTCTCGCATGTTTTGTTTTCTATTTTAAAAAACAAGTACCAAGTTAAAGCCATGATATTTTTTATTTTTTTTTTAAAACTGTTTTTTGAAATTATGAAGACATCTTTAGGTTGACCTCACATTTTTTGAAATCTTTTCACCCTAAAAAGTGTCATTTTCTGACACTTAGTACATGCTTAGGCACATTATTTCAGTTGTTGACATTGAGATGGTCCTAGCAAAGGTCAAGGCTATTGTTGATTGACTTAGCTTGCATCGTTTATTCAATCACGTTAATTTCACAGATTGACATCTTTTTATAGGAGATTTATTAAGAATTTCTGCTCTGTACTGCACCTTGGACAAAAATTTTCAAGTAGGAGAGATCTACATGTTCAAATGAAGCACAAGTCAACTTTTAAGCTTTGAAGAGATATATTAATTAGGTTCTGGTCCCAACTCTTCCAGATTTTAATTAGGAGTGTGAAGTGGAGTATGACACTTTCAACTTGAGAATTGAATTTGTGTTGAGTTGAGTACATCATATTGATTTTTTAATAAAAAAATAAATGATTCTAGGAGAAAATACTCAATTTACAAGGCGTTTTATGCCATTATGACAGTTGCCAATCATTGGAATCACTAGTATTGGCAAGTGAGTTCACCTTTTATGTTGATCATAAAACCTTTAAGTTCTTGAATAATCTGAGCAAGCTAAAGGATAGACATGCTTCATGGGTGCAGTTATTATTTTCCTTCCATTTTATGCTCAAGCACAAGCTGGAAGCTAGAATAAGTTAGTTGATGCATTGAGCCGTTGTTACTTTTTGCTCATTACTATGCAGTTGAAACTAGTTAGCTTTGAATTGTTAAAAGATTCATATGTAGCTGATAAGATTTTTCGGGAGATTTGGGCCCACTGCAAGGACATACCATATGAATAGTATCACAGGTTATGTTTATTTTTTCTTCTAAAGATTGTGCATTCATAGGAGTTCACTAAGGGAGGTTATCTCATAGGAATTTCATGATGGAGGGATGATGAAGCACGTGGTTAGAGACAAGATTCTTAGTAAAAGAGAATTATATTAGCTCTAATTTGTAGAAGATTTGGAGAGATATAATAGACAGTGCAAGGTTTGTCACTTAGCTTAGACCTGAGGGCAGAATACAGATCTACGCACCCCCATCCTTTTTGGAATCACCTTGGTTGGGTGTGATCATGGACTTTATTGTGGGTCTCCCTCGTACCTATTAAAGCAATGATTCAATTATGGCAGTAGTCGATTGCTTCTCCAAAATGACGCACTTTGTATATTGCTATAAAATAATGGGCGCTTCACATATTGTAGATTTATACATTAGAGAGATAGTTCACCCATATGGTGTGCTTAAGACTATTACGTCTGATTGAGGTGTGAAGTTTTTGAACCATTTATGGAGAACTCAATGAGGTAAGCTGGGTACTAAGCTACAATTTAGTTCAACAACATATTCATAGACTGATCGATTGATAGAGATTGTAAACTGTAGTTTAGGGAATCTTCTTAGGTGTATTGTTGGAAAAATATTAGGCAATAGGATTTTTTTTTTTTTTCAGGTTGAGCTTGCTTACAACAGGTCCACTACTCACTATATAGGTTACAACACTTTTGAGCTAGTTTATGAGCAAAATTCCTTCACCCCATTGGAATTTTAATAGTTAATAAATAAATAAATTTAATTCGATCTGTTCAAAGGGAAGCAACCTTTTTAACAGTTTCATTTTAGGAGTCGAATGTCACTTTTGAATAGGATGAAGCTGAGGAGGTAGAGAGCGAGAGTGAGAGACAGAGAATAAAAAGTGATGACGCCATGTGACATCACATTCTAGAGAGAGAAGGGAAGATGGCACCTCAAAGACGAAAGAGTAACCCTAGCCAAAGGAAGAACTCTAGTCGTGTGCGTGCAGGAAAAGCGGTGCTCGCTCTTGGGAAGGAAACATAGGGGACGTCGTTTGAGAGTGTCATATATGATGAAGGAAGAGAACCAAGGGGAAGGGAGGAAATGTCAAAGCCATTAGTGGTGAGTTCGACGCGTTCGATCACAAGTTCTGACGCTGCGTGCGTTATTTCTTGCAGGAGGGGTGCTCTATCACTTAGAGCGTAACCTTGCGTGCGAGGCGGTGCAGCCGTGTGGAGTCGAAGGAGGAGAGTTACATGAGAGAGATAGAGGAGCCCCGCATATGAGAAGAAGGCTTTGTGTCTAAGGTGAGAAGAGTTCAAGCAGTACAAGAGGAAGGAGGGAGAAAGTGGCTCGTACGAGAAAAATCGAGCCTGTGAAGGTGACTTAGGGTTGTTTGAATTGGATTTTTATTATTTCTTATTTAATTTTAAGGTTAATATATGTCTTATACTAATTGAAATAAAAAATCAGAAATCAAAAATCATAGAAGAAATATTTGGATTAGAACTGGAAAAGTTGGTGAATGCTAATGTAAGAATTTGACGTTTTATTTCTTTTAATTATTTTCTTTATTTAATATTATTAAGTTAATAATTAAATTTATGAA